GGCCATCATTACTTTAAGAAATGAAGGTCAGTCAGTCCGGAAAATTGCAAAAACTTTAAATGTGTCCCCAAGTGGAGTCGCAAAAACCATCAAGCGCTACAACCAAACTGGCACACATGAGGTCCGACCCAGGAAAGGAAGACCAAGAGTCACCTCTGCTTCTGAGGATAAGTTCATCCGAGTCACCAGCCTCAGAAATCGCAAGTTAACAGCAGCTCAGATCAGAGACCAGATGAATGCCACACAGAGTTCTAGCAGCAGACCCATCTCTAGAACAACTGTTAAGAGGAGACTGCGCCAATCAGGCCTTCATGGTCAAATAGCTGCTAGGAAACCACTGCTAAGGAGAGGCAACAAGCAGAAGAGATTTGTTTGGGCCAAGAAACACAAGGAATGGACATTAGATCAGTGGAAATCTGTGCTTTGGTCTGATGAGTCCAAATTTGAGATCTTTGGTTCCAACCGCCGTGTCTTTGTGAGACGCAGAAAAGGTGAACGGATGGATTCCACATGCCTGGTTCCCACTGTGAAGCATGGAGGAGGAGGTGTGATGGTGTGGGGGTGTTTTGCTGGTGACACTGTTGGGGATTTATTCAAAATTGAAGGCACACTGAACCAGCATGGCTACCACAGCATCCTGCAGCGACATGCCATCCCATCCAGTTTGCGTTTAGTTGGACGATCATTTATTTTTCAACAGGACAATGACCCCAAACACACCTCCAGGCTGTGTAAGGGCTATTTGACCAAGAAGGAGAGTGATGAAGTGCTGCGGCAGATGACCTGGCCTCCACAGTCACCGGACCTGAACCCAATCGAGATGGTTTGGGGTGAGCTGGACCGCAGAGTGAAGGCAAAGGGGCCAACAAGTGCTAAACACCTCTGGGAACTCCTTCAAGACTGTTGGAAAACCATTTCAGGTGACTACCTCTTGAAGCTCATGGAGAGAATGCCAAGAGTGTGCAAAGCAGTAATCAGAGCAAAGGGTGGCTATTTTGAAGAAACTAGAATATAAAACATGTTTTCAGTTATTTCACCTTTTTTTGTTAAGTACATAACTCCACATGTGTTCATTCATAGTTTTGATGCCTTCAGTGAGAATCTACAATGTAAATAGTCATGAAAATAAAGAAAACGCATTGAATGAGAAGGTGTGTCCAAACTTTTGGCCTGTACTGTAGGTTTGTTATGATAGCTTTAAGAGTTAAGACTCTTTTTAGGGTCTGATTTGCCTGTTCAAAGTTCTTACTGCATTAATTGAAGGAAAAGATATAAAATAAGTGTATTAGGTCCAGAGTAATTGAATGGGCTGTGCTGCAATGTGATCAAGAGGTGATGAGCTCATAATTTATGGAAAAAAAATAAATCAACACACTTTAGATTTCCCTCATCAAACTCACTCCTGTGAATTACCAGAGACGCAAACTGTAATAGCAATTGTGAGAACAACAATGCAACACTCCCATCTTGAGTTGGGAGAAAGAAAAGCAACACTGCAAGCATTGTTTTTATTGCTCTAAGTATGACATCATCATTTAAAATCTCAGTTTGCATGAATATTAAAGGCATGGCCTATAGACTGAAAGCTCAGGTCACTCCATCCTTGTCTTTCACACTGCGGTTAAAAAGCCCAAATACCTACAGATGGATAACGAATTGAAGGATAACAACAATATCAAGTATGTTAACAAGGCATTAATCCTATGATTAGTCCACAACAAGCTGCCACACTGCTTGTTCTCACCTCTCCACGTCTCTGAACTCTACTGAAGGGATGAACCCTACTTCTGGGTAGTGGCATATGGAAGTTAGGATGGGCCCTAGTGCAAATTATCATGACCTGCCAGAGGCCTATACTTTGAAGAAGGATTTGGAGCGTGGTGACTTCAGGGTTAACTCTGGGTTTTCAGTACTACAGATGGTGGTTTTCTTTTTACCGGGATAAAATTACAGTGGTAACTTGCGCTGAACACCAGTCTGCTCCAGAGCAGGGTCTGTTCAGAGCATAGGATCAGTCTGTCAACACCCCAACCTCCAACCAATCAGATCACTGAAGACAAAAGTATCCATGGACAAAAGTCTGGAGTCTTGGGTAAAAAAAAAGAACCTATATATTGTTACAGGTCAGTAGAATCATTTCATTGCTCCAGGGCTGTATTTCCACTAGTTTTAAAACAGAGCTTCTAACAAGCATAGAGATTGTTTACACACTAAATGTGATTTCAGCAGCATTTTAACTTGTGCAGTGATTGCTGACAGTGTTGCTATTTTTATACTCTGATTCCATCACTGCAGCTTAGAATAACATGAGACACATGTCTGACAAGAACTGGGGAAAAATATTGTATTTTACTATGACAATAATCCATACACTGGTAATTGGCTCCTGTTAGGATAAATGCATCATATAGGGTTTTTTTGGGGGGAGTTTTTCCTTATCCGCTGCGAAGGTCCAAAGGACAGAGGGATGTTGTAGGCTGTAAAGCCATCTGAGGCAAATTGTGATTTGTGATATTGGGCTTTATAAATAAAATTGATTGATTGATTGACTGTCTATATTTACACCCCTGCTTCTGGAAGATATTCCCAGAAGAGACCACACCATATGTTAAATTACATCTTGTATCCTTGTTGTTTTGCACCATACTTTACTGACACCCTCTTAATTATAGGTTTTAGCTCATGTTCACCATTGTAAATAGAGTAGGCTATAGAACTTTAAGGACAAAGTTCAAAGACTCAAAGGTTTTTAATCTGATCATGTGCAAAGGGAGACTGAGCACTGTTGTGAGGAAACACAGTACTTTTGTGTGAGAGTGAAACAAAAACACAAATACACTGTGGGAGAACATGTCCTATTAGTAAGGAAGCAGGGGAACAATTCTCAGTCTGACTAAGATCTGAACAGTGTTATTAGATAATTATCTTTCTTTTAAGCCACACATCAAACTACTTGTGAAAAGGCTGAAGCTGAAACTGGGCTTTTATTTTAGAAACAGGAACTGCTTCTCTTTCTTGACCAAAAAAAAAAACTGGTCCCTGCCACATTCTTGACTGTGCTTGATTTTGGGGGTGTATTATATATAAATGCGCCTTCCCAGTGTTTGCATGCTCTGGACTCTGTGTATCACGGTGCATTAAGATTCATTACCAACTGTAAGCCTCTAACTCATCACTGTATGCTGTATGCTCAGGTTAAGCATCTCTCTTTAAAATTTTGTAGATTTTTTCATTGCCATTATCTTGTTTACAAAGCTATTCTTGGCCTACTTCCAGCTTATTTATGTGTGTACATTAAGCGAAAAACTGAAAACGGCTCTGCTCTCCAGTTACATGTTTTTATTGTCTGTACTGAGGGTACGTATGGAGTTTGGCAAACAAACATTTATGTCCGCATCTCCTTATATGTGGAATCTTATGCAGAAGGACTTCAAGTTGCACTCACTGGTTCCTCTCGGCTGTCTCAAAGCACTGTTGCAGGATTTTTGTACACAGCCAATGCCACGGTGTAGCTTAGCTGGTCTATGTTATCATGTGTAGTTGACCTTGTTTTATGTTTTTATGGTTCACTTATAGCATATACTTTTTTTGATTTTCTTTTTAGTAATTTCATTTTGTTTTTTATAATGCTTGTTTTAGAGCTGCATTTGTTTTCATTTTTCGTTTTATTTTGTTCTATGTTTAGTTAAGTGTATTTATTTGCACAAACATGTATAGAAAAGATGGGGAAAAAAAGAGATTAAAAGTTAAAACATTGTGCAGGAGAGGGTTAGAAGCCAAAAATGGCTTATGAAGATACTTTGCTTGTCAGATAACAACAGTCATACATGAAAAGAAAGATAAAAGCAAAGATTGCATAATTGAACAAGAGTTCCAGATTAAGAAGTAATACAAAATTGTAGGAGATATATAGTTTACATAAAAAAGCTGAAATGCATTACAAATTAGTCAGTGAAGTTAAAGAGTCTTTGCAAATAAGACTCCTTTCAGATGTTTTTTGAATAACAATAATATAGATGATGATTTTAGAGATATTGTCTGTCTGTAACTTACATTGCTGCCTGTCTCAGCCAAGGCACTCTTGAAAAAGAGATTTTTAATCTCAAGAGTTTTTCTCTGGTTAGATAAAGCTTAGATGAGAATAAGAATAACAATAATAATAACAATAATACTAATAATAATAAACAGAGAAGGTACACAAACTCAGGAGAGTCAGGTAGGCTACGGGCCAGAACATGTCACTAGATGTCACTGCGCGCCCTTTATGGGGAAGACAAAGCAACACGGACAGGCAATGGATCTATCTCACAGAAACATGCGCTAAGTACCGCTAAACCTTTTACCATCAGACACAAACACTTAGCAGTGATTAATAAATCAGGTGTCGTGGGACGTTGTCACCTTGCATTAAATGAGATATCATTTCAAAACTCAAAACAATGTAAAACTCTCCCTCTCAGTAAGGTCATACTGACACATACCTTTATCAATTACATATCAATTAGATACCTCATATTATTTATTGTTGTGTAAACAGAATAATCTTTCAGCAGCATTTCCCCAATCAAAAGACTTTGACGTCAGAGTGGAATGCGGTTGCCGATGCTGTTATGCTGCTTTCAGTGGTCCTCGTAAGGAACTGACTGTGGCCTCCAAAATAGTAAATATAAACAGCTTGTCCCGCAGGACAATAATCCAACAATAATAAGAACATATTCAAATTAAAAAGTAGCCTACCTTTTTTCCGCTGTTGTTGTTGATGTTGTTGTTTTCTTAAAAAAGAATAGCCCACCTTATGACAGATTTCATGGTAACGTTGTGGCTTTGTATGTTATGTTTTCATTCATCTGTTAAACATTTGTGATGTAGATCCCATGAACAGAAAAAAAAATCATTTCTGAACACATTTTAGATAAACTATAACACTGACGAGAGTCTCTCGGATTAAAAATCTCGACACTTTTTTCAGCACTTGAAGGCAGCACCCAGCTCACCGCCTCACAGGGAGGAAACAACGTTCCGACCAGAGCAGCCGCTGCCAACGATGCAATGCCTCGTTTTACACATGAACCCTGGGCATAGGCACCTCCTGAGTGCCACGGTCACCTCGAAGAGACAGTGCCATCCTCGTTTACGCTGATCATTTGCGATAAGCTTCAGTAGGGAGTATACGAAAGGACCTAAGGTAGCCGGTAGAGACCGGAGTCGGGGCTTTATGTTTGCCGGAACGAAGCTGGAGAGGTGAGCTGAGCGAGCCCTGCTTACTTTAGCTTGCTACATGCTAACTACGGCTAGCTGTGTGATATGGAAAGCAGCACCTGTCTACCTGTGTGGACAGCGTTTTGTCACACAGCTAAATGTGTTTGCGTACAGATCATTATTCGGTGCATTTGTGAGTTAGCGGTCGACCCTCGGATATTAAAGAACGAAAGCAGTCAGCATCAGTCAGTCAGTAACGTTATGCTATGTTAACGCCGATCAATCAATGAACAGCAAGCTAGCTACTGGTTACATTAGGCTAATGTTAGCATCGTTGGGCCCGTAATGCAGCGGACTTCTCGGCTGGTCTGTCAAACTCCACCGTGGTAGCAAAACGCCTGCCTGAACATGCGACCGTAGGAATGCTTTCATTACAGTAGAGGGAAGTTTGACTTGGGTTAGTGAATAAACGAGCTATGGTTAGCGCAGCAGCCATCCTGTCAATAGTCAGCAAGGATCAAGTATTTATGCGCTAACGTACACACACAGAATGACATATCCAGGCTAGAGATGCAGTAATAAACCGGTTTCAAGGTATAAAAAAATGCGCTGGATGTTGAATCTCCCCTTCAGTTGAGTTATATTCTAAGCGGAGACTTTTTACGCATATTTCTATCAACACAATGGTTTCAAGTTGCAGTTGTATTAATAAAACATTAGTTCAACCAAAAATAACTCCTCTGCTTTCTTTATTTTAAGGATCATACTGACTGATAGTAATATAAATCCTGTAATGCTGTGATACCTCAATATTTTCTGAGACAGTTGTACTGTAAGAATGACATAATAATAGGGTGAACATGGGGATTTTTAGAAAATTTATTTGGTCCCTCACTCAGTTTAATGGTTGGCTTGGTAATGTAATCAGTGTTAAATGAATCTGTAGTGACTGTGTGTTTCATATCATTTAGGAAGCTGAAGCAATGGGTTTCTCCTTCAGCCTTCGATGAACTGAATTAAGCTGGACCCACACGACTCAGCTATCCTGCCCCTGCCTATAGTGGGGGCTCCCTTCTCCCTCTCGCCTTCTCCAGCTATGGCAGGCTTCAAGCGGGGCTATGATGGCAAAATTGCTGGCCTGTACGACCTGGACAAGACACTGGGCCGTGGTCACTTTGCTGTGGTCAAGCTGGCACGCCACGTCTTCACTGGGGAGAAGGTGGCGGTGAAAGTGATTGACAAGACTAAGCTAGACACCGTGGCTACAGGCCACCTTTTCCAGGAAGTCCGCTGCATGAAGCTGGTCCAGCACCCCAACATTGTGCGCCTATATGAAGTGATAGATACTCAGACCAAGCTTTACCTCATCTTGGAGCTAGGCGATGGAGGGGATATGTTTGACTACATCATGAAACATGAGGAGGGTCTGAATGAAGAGCTTGCTAAGAAATATTTTGCCCAGATTGTTCATGCTATCTCCTACTGCCATCGGCTACATGTGGTGCACAGGGACCTCAAGCCAGAGAATGTGGTGTTCTTCGAGAAACAAGGGCTGGTCAAGCTCACAGACTTTGGATTCAGTAACAAGTTTCAGCCGGGAAAAAAGCTGACCACCAGTTGTGGATCTCTGGCATACTCTGCACCGGAAATACTGCTGGGTGATGAGTATGATGCTCCAGCTGTAGGTATGCAAAACATATAGGCCTATGAATAATGTCAACATAATGAAATGAGTCACACTGTTCATTAGAAAATGGCAGAGAGCTACAGTGCAGTGCAACCAAACAAGATTTGAGCCAGATCTTTGACTCAGCCCTTTTCTGAGAGTGTGGTGCTTTTACACACACGCACACACACACACACACACACGGTTATTTTATCTTTTGTGATCCATCGATGGATGGACCAGGCTTGTTGCCTATGGCATGAACTCACTGTCCAGTCTACCTGTTAAATTCCTCACCTCCCAGAAAGCATGTACCTGTGTCAGAACACACAGGCTTTTGGCATCAAACTACACAGGACATCTTTAGCACATTGGTTTTTAAACCTAGCTTTAGCACAGTAATGTAATAAGGTTCACTATGTGGCTAGCACCTGTTTCACACATTTTTGTCACACCTTGCTGCAACACTGGCTGTTAGTTTGCTTACAGAGCCTGAACACGTGGCTGGTTTTGTGATTAGATTGCCTCAGTCCAGAACAGCCATCATTCATATGCCAGGGCCCTGTACTTATTTGAAACATCAAACTGTGGGTTCCAGGAGCACAATGCTGCTTACAGTAGCCTACTTGACACTGAACATCTTGCAGGCAGCTATGGGCAATGTGCTACAAGGTCAGCTCTACTAGCACTGATGTCAGTGGGTGTCCCATTGCACAAAATTAACTGGCTCATTGATTTTCTATGAGGGCTGACAGAGTGCAGACAAACAGATTGTGTGTCTCTCCATCACTGATATATCTAACACATCAGGTAGCTTAAATGATGGCAAAACATGGGACTAAGTCCAGCCCTTGAATTGGATGATGAGATGTTTTAAACTTGTTTTTCAGCCAGTGTAGTTGTTCATGTGGCACTAATCCTAATGAAGTCTGAAATCCATCTCATTATTGTTTATGCATGAAGGAAATGCTTTCAGAGAGGTAGTCAACTAGGTATTATTTGCAGAAAAAATAGGGAGTGTTGCACTGGGTCAAGGCACCAGGTTTTGGTGACGGTAAAATATCAGGTGCTCTTTAAGGATAGGTAAAGTAGTGACATTAGAATAAAAAAAGTGACTGTCCAGCTTAGGGCTGTGCGGTATACTGGTTTGTACTGAAAACCGGTATTTATTTTCGTTATGAATTAAATTTTTCTTATACCGCATGTTGCTGAAGAAGAACACAATGACCCAGAAGAACTCATACCAAAAAGAGCAGTGTTTACCCTATATGCAACTAGCAGCGGCGCATCGCCATTCACAATTCTCCTCTGCTCTCTGTATTGCACACGATGGAGTTTCCCCCCTGATGTGCGCGCGCACACACACACACACACACAGACAGGTGCGCACACACACACACAGACACACGCAGGTGAACACACTAGAGCCCGGCTCGGTCTGCATTTTCCTGACCGAAGCCGACCGACAAGTCCGAGACTAACCGAGCACTGCACTAATGGAGCAGAGCCTGTGTTGCATTCAGGTGTTGTCATGTAAAAAACAAATGGCAGCACTTCAATAGGCTATAGCACAACACAGCAGCATGTCAAGTAGGCGGGACCTGAGCAAAATATGGTCAAATACCGTGAAACCGATATGATTTAAAAAAATGTGATATGAAAATTTTGTCATACCGCCCAGCCCTAGTCCAGCTTACTTAATGTAGCAGTCCATGGTTGGCAATCTGAAAAGCATCCAAGGCACTCTGATTGTAAGTAAAAATTCTTAATTAACACATTTATGACCAAAGTGTTTCGATTTAACAGTCTTTATCAGGGAAGGGGTGGCTGATATATTAAATATGATGGATGTATGCAATGACAATATCTCAGACATCGAGTAAATGGTCATGTTGTTTGATTAAGCCACCAGCATGAGACTCGCTTTGGCGTTTCAGTTCTCTTGCTCTCTTCTAGGGCTGGGCGATATGGACAAAAATTCATATCCCGGTATTTTCAGGCTGAGTGTCGATACACAATATATATCCCGGTATTTTCTACGAAGTGGGCTACATGTTCTGTTGCCAGCTGATCCACGGCTGATTTTAAGGGGAGAAACGGGCAGGTTGGGTGTTGGCTGCGGTTGGTGAGACGCCACCGCTGCCCGTCTGAGTGCGGGCGGCCCGGACCTACTCCGGAGGAGGAGCAAGTACACAGCTCGGTGTGGCACCTTGTGTCTAAACTGATAACAGAAACACAATCAGCGCTTGACTGGACATGGCTAAAAGTTACAGAGGAAAAGGCCCACAGTATTGTACGTGTGCCACTGCCGTAACTTCATTCATCTCACAGACTGATTTTGCGTAGCTCGTGCAATAAATAGACCGCTGTTGCACCGTAGACTAATTAACAGATTAAACAGAGGAGCAGCTCTGTGTCTCTCTGAATGTTTATGGAGAAACTGTGAGTGAGTGGGCCAGAGCTGTGCGGAGACTGTGAGAGAGGAGAGATGCACACTATATAAATATAAACGGTATTGTCTAAAATTTTCTATATCTTACTTAAAAATATATCGATATATTGTAAAAAATCGATGTATCACCTAGCCCTACTCTCTCCTATGGCTTTCTCCCTCTCACAGACACACACACACATAAAGAAAGACTCACATACTGTCACACACACCCCTCCGCCCATCCAGACCACTTTCTCCTGAGCAACAGTAAGCAAGCAGCTCAAAGTGTCTTTCTCATCTGCAGGGCTCCAGACCTCTAACTTTGCTTTTTAATAGGGCTGTGCCCAACTTGAAGCAATCTCAACTAAGAGGTGTCCGACTGACAATTCAAATATCCGACTTTCAAGGGGCAGCCATAATATTTAGTCTGATTTTGTGACTTGCAGATATTATTAATATATTATCGACTGGAGAGCTGTGAGTTTGTTTCCAGCTTATAGTGAATAAATCATCACGTTTGATGCCACCGCGGTAACAGATTGACTTAATGGGATTAAGCGTGAGCAGAGGAAGCGTGGGTTTTTGTACCTGTAGGATATGACTGTGACTGTTAATTCACATTTTGTGACCATGGAGCACCAGTGGGACTTGCAAATGCTTTTAATATTTACAGTGGAGAGCTGGTGTGTTTCCAGCTCACAGTGAATAATCCTCCTGTTTAAAGGCGCAGCAGCAACAGTTTAACTTAATGCTAACTGCTAACATCTGACTGCTTCAGGTTTACAGCAAAAACATCAGCACTACTCGCCTAAGACAAGACAGTTCTTTTGTTAACTTTATTATAACAGTATTTTATTAAACTTAATTATAACATATTTTACTTATCTTTTTTTGGGCTGTTTTGCCTTTAATGGACGGGACAGAGTGAAGATTGTGAAGTGGGGAGAGATAGAGAGTGGGGGGACGACATGCAGCAAAGGGTTGCAAGCCGGAGTTGAACTCACGACCGCTGCAGCGAGGCATCACCTCTCTACATGGGGTGCCGGCACTATCCACTAAGCTACCGACGCCCCATATTTTACTTATCTTAAACTATTTTCTTTATGGCATGCACACACAGTTTTTCCTGCAAACATTCAAGGACGCCTTTATAACTTAGTAATTTATACTACTCTGACATTAACACTTAGGATGTTTGTCCACATGGAGTTTTTCTTGTGTGTAGAAGCAGTGGCTTGGCGCTGCCATTTTTTCTTCATATAATAAAGGGTCGCCGCTCTTTTTTTAATGATATGCTGTATGTGAGTTTTGTTTCTACAACAACATGTTGACATTAACACATACACGTAATTTATAGTTTTGCGTTGAATCGACGCGTAGGTTACGGCGTAGGATCCACGTCGATTTGGAGCCTACGCCGTAGCCTAACGTGCACCTCCCCAGAATTGTAACTATGCGTCGCAGTGATGCAGACCTCCGGTCTGTCGTTATATACGGACACCATTTCCCTCAGTGGAAATGGAGCTTGTATTTACTTTTAGTTCACAGATAAGAAACAATAAATTGTGAGGACAGTAAGGCCTCCATTAAAATAGCATTTTAAGTCTTGCGTGTGATATATCCTTTAGGGATTTATACTTCGAGATTTATCCAGGTTTCATATGAGAAGAGGGAAAGATCGCCGGCTGCTAGGCTAATCAATACAATGTAAAATGCCATAGGTTTGTGCTAATAACGTTAGCATATTGTATTTGTTTGAAAAACGTGTTTAGTGTGACAGTTGTTTTGTCGGTTAATCTTGGGAGTTGTAATGGAGCCAAATTGAGTGCCCTTACGTTTGCTAAATCATGCTGTTGTCCCTGGGAAAGATTGCTAGGTGCTAGGCTAATGTATACAATGTAAAATGCCATATGCTGGTGCTAATAACGTAGCATGTTGTATTTGCTTGGAAAATGTGTTTAGTACATGACAGTTGTTTTGTCAGTGAGCTTTGTGAGTTGTTATGGAGCCAAACTGTGTGCTGTTACCTTTGTTAAATGTTGCTGTTGTCCCTGGTATTATATGAGAAGAGGAAAAGATCGCTAGGCGCTAGGCTAATTTATACAGTGTAAAATGCCATAGACTTGTGGTAATAATGTTAGCATGTTGTAGTTGTGGGGAAATTTGTCCAGTCTGTCAATTCTGCGATTTATAGTGAAGCCAATTTATGTACTTTTGTTTGAAATTGTCTCCATTAAGCCATATTTAATGTGTGTTTTGAATCAACTAAACTTTACAGCACTTAACGGAGTCCTCTACCGCCGACTAGTGTTTTGGAGGTGTAACTGCATAGTGACACAGACACACCACTGCAGAAGTAAAAATAACGTGCAGATTTTTTTTCCCCACGACTAATCGATCAGTTGAAGATTATGTACGACTTTAGTCGACCAAGATTTTCTTTGGTTGACTGCAGCCCTAGAGAATAGGGGGGCGCAGGGGGTTAGAGGGTGAGGGAGATGTTAGGAGAGTAAAGGGCTATGGTGTACTTCTCTGGGTCTCAAATTCAAGGGTTTTTGGCCGCAAATTCAAGTTTTTTTTTGCCA